CTCCCTCCCTCCCTCCCTCCCTCCCTCTCTCTCCTTCTCTCTCTCCCCTCTCCCTCCCTCACTGGATGGTTAGCAGGAAAGTTCATCTGTGTGATGCATTAAATGATGCAAAATAAACTGTTCTTCAACTCATGGAATTTGTCTTGTTTCTAAAAATTAAATATCTTGATGTTTTCTTTTTCCAGCTTGTTGAAGCAGTAGTCCTGCCCATGACACATAAGGACAAGTTTGAGAACCTGGGCATCCAGCCTCCTAAAGGTGTTCTCCTGTACGGACCCCCTGGGACGGGCAAGACTCTGCTAGCCAGGGCCTGCGCTGCACAGACTAAGGTACACACCACTCTGTATGGCCTCCTTCAGTTACCTTTACTATAGTCTCTACAGTCAATTGACCATGGTGTAATCCTCAGCCCTTTTTCCAAGCAGATCCTATGGTGGTAACTTGCACGGCAGTATCCATTGGCCAGAGAAGTGTCCATTAGCCACTGAATACCTGGCCAATGGATACTGTCTTGTCACTGTATGATCTGATTGGTGATTAAGCCGTACAGCTTTGGCTATGGTTATGGTTTAAATAACACTGGTTACAATAGACCTACAACAAGCACGTTAGCAGAACGTACTACACCCATAGAAAACCCATATTTTCCACGTTTTTGTTGAATGTTTGGTCAACATTTTTGAAAATATTACTATTTTATATTATTTTTCAGATAGAACTTTGTCTAGGTTTTTTCTCTAGTGATATCTTAACTCTACAAACATTTGATAACAGTGCATTTTTCTGTGGTCACTTAAAAGTTTCAGTAGAACGTACTACACTGGTGCAAAACCCTGATTTTTTACAGGTTTTCGTTGAATGTTTGTTTAGTCAAGGTTGCATCATAGCTTGTCTCCAATGATATCTTAACTCTTTAAACATTTGATAAAAACATATTTTTCTGCGGCATGTTTCAGTCGACTTTCCTGAAGCTGGCGGGACCACAGCTCGTTCAGATGTTCATCGGAGACGGAGCCAAGATGGTCCGGGACGCCTTCGCGCTGGCCAAGGAGAAGAGGCCGGCTATCATCTTTATCGACGAGTTGGACGCCATCGGCACAAAGCGGTTTGACAGCGAGAAGGCAGGAGACAGGGAGGTCCAGCGTACCATGTTGGAACTCCTGAACCAGATGGACGGATTCAGCTCTACTATGGATATCAAGGTGTGTCACTAGTTATGTGGTGTCTTTGTGTGGTGTAGTGGATAGAGTATCCGACTGTCAAGCAAGGAGACCCAGGTTCAATCCCCAGGGTTGGACCCAGACATGTCTGGGCATGCACCCAGACGTTGTGCCCTTGGGAAAGGTACTTAAACGTATTTACCCCCCCAGTTAGAGGGCCCTACTAGGGTTTGGGTTGGCATAAGGAAGGGCATCCAGCTGTGAAAATCTTGCTTAAAAAAAGACTTGCACTTGCCTTGCCTTGTTTTGTGTGGATCCCTGCAAGGGACATAAATTCTTCTAACTGATCACCCTTTTCTAGCTCCACAGTGTTCGAAATACCTGTCTGCAGTCTGCAATCTGCAGATAGATTTTCAAGATTGCAGAGGAAAAATTTATACAATCTGCAATATTGCAGAAGGAAAAATATTCTCCAGATTCAATAGTTTTCAATTTAGCAAACTAGCACTCTCAGGTCCTATCAAGGACAGACAACACTTGAGCTCCTGTTCTGAAACAACAGGAACTTCTTCACTAATTTGCATCATCCATGTCTTGACTTGTCTATCTTTTGTTTCCCTTTGGACTTCCAAAAATTTGTCTTCACTAATTTGCAAATCAATCAATACTTTTTGCTTATAAACCTGCAGTTCTCCTTCAGTCTCTTAGTGTCACTGATGAAAGGTAGTAGTCTGACCATTTTAGGTAGCACCAAAATTATATACAGCTACTTGAGTAACTGTTTTTTTTTTGTCTTTTATTAGTATGTTTTAGTATGTTTTTGCAGAAAGTTTTTCCAAATTGCAGAACAAAATTTTGACTCTTCTGCAATATTGCAGAGCACTGAAACAAAGTATTTCGACCACTGCTCCATGATCTGACACCTGAGTGATGAAACGTTGTGCAATCAGTTTTCTGAAGTGAGGTGAGCACTCTACCCACTTGGCCATTGCACCGACCAAATGAAGCTCAACAGCTTTCCTTTCCATGTTGTATGTTTAGGTGATTGCGGCCACCAACAGAGTAGACATCTTGGATCCCGCGCTGCTGCGTTCCGGACGTCTGGACCGTAAGATCGAGTTTCCGATGCCCAACGAGGAGGCTCGGGCGCGTATCATGCAGATCCACTCTCGGAAGATGAACGTCAGGTAAACACATGTACACGTTTGTACTACAAACAACAAGATGGCTAAATTTTCAAAATAGAGACGTTACATTTCCTGTTTGATTTTGTCCTTGGAAATCAAGTGTAAAATACAATTTCAAACAGGTACTGTCTTTTTACTTCTTTGTACAGCATATTCCTAATGCAACTAGACAAACCTACCATTGAAAAACATATCTGCTTTACCATCTACCATAATTGAAAAGGGAGAAGTTGAATTATCTAATGGTAGACAGTTTTATTTTGTACCAGTTAACTGTTTTATGTTTTGTTTCATTCATGTGTCAAATGCACATATATTTTCCAAGTGGTAGAATTGTTTGTTGTATTCTTCCAGTCCTGATGTGAACTTTGAGGAGCTGGCCCGCTGTACAGATGACTTCAACGGGGCTCAACTCAAAGCTGTGTGTGTGGAGGCTGTAAGTGTTTCATTTTATTAACCTGTATTTGTACATGTCTGTATAGCTGGTACATAACCACCCTTTGGTGTAACACACCAGCTTCACAGGCACACAATGTTTAGAGTTAGATGTTCAAGGTGTAACAACTTGTTCGGTGTAATGTAGCCATCGGCCACTGCGCCGCGTGCCTGCGAAGCTGGTGTGTTACGCCGAAGTATACAGATACAGGTGCAGATACACAGTATGACAGCAGTTAGTTTTATTACACTGAACGACCTGTCACACATAATCTTTGCATATCTAAATTTCTAATCTAACTAAGCATTATTCAAAACTAGTGATGTTTCCTGTACTGTACTTGGTGGTGACGAGCTCCACTCTACAGAAAATGAATTCTGATTTTAGATGGTGTAACTAGTACATGTACACTGTAATGGAAGATATATATACTAGTATATACTTCAGTAACTAGTATTCATTATGAAGCAAGTTTTAAACTGTAATATCCAACACAAGAAATTGGACTCACCCAAATTTTCGACTGTACAACTCCAGTCTTTGTCAAGGAATGAGCAATCCACCGCTTCTGTGACGTCACGCAGATAACACATGTGACTCCGTGAGCAGTGGATCATAGGTTGCAGAAAGTCTGTGGCGCCCCCCGTCTCTGTTGAGGGATGGCTGTAATGCCCTGATGTAGATGGCCTCTTTCAAGATTAGTATATATTCAGTTGTGAAAATAGAATGTTTAGAAGTTAAAGCCATTGTGGTTTTTTATAATTTTTTTTCCAGGGAATGATAGCTCTTCGAAGAGGTGCGACAGAACTGGTGCATGAAGACTACATGGATGGAATACTAGAGGTGCAAGCCAAGAAGAAAGCCAACCTGAACTATTATGCCTAGAAACTAAAGTACTGTTTGTATCTTTACCCAACATAAAGTTCCAGTTTCATGTCTTCTTCTGAAGTTGGAACTTTGTGTAACAGGAGAAGTATTGGGGATTCCGTTGATAAAGTACATTTAATATTTGCGGGACAAAACCACATATGCTCAGTGGATTAACAGTGGCATTTTGTAGGCTAGTAAGTGTAAGGGACATACCATGGTTCAAGATACATTCACAGTTGCATCATTCATTTTCAACAAAGGTATCTGTACTATGACTTCTGATCTTATCTTCTGTGTTGGTAGAAGTCATTATGCAGCAAGTTTAAACTGTAGTTTCCAACACAAGAAATTGGACTCACCCAAATTTTCGACTGTACAACTCCAGTCTTCCTTGACAAAAATTTGGGTGAGTTTTAACTTGCTGCAAGATGTACATAACAGACTTCTGATGTTAGAATATTTGAAAGACCGTATGCTACATTGCAGGAATGGGGATATCTTTTTGTTTTCACAACATACTCAACATCATGTAAGTACACTACAAAAAGAAACAGGAAAAACTGGGTCTGAAGTGAATATTTAAACAGTTCTAAGCACCACATGGCTAAAGGTGGCAGTACCTGGCTTGTTCAGTTTAATCTTATCTAGACCATACCTTATACATGTGTATTGTTTGTGACTGAGAGGACTTTGACATATTATCCAAAATGCATAACCAGAATCAGTTTATTATATCACAAGCTTTCTGGAACGCGATTCTGTACATAAAGTAACTTAGAAGTGAAGCTTTGAAACACATACTTAAGGGAATCTGTGAAACATAGGGATTACAATGTTTGATTCTACATCTATTACTAGGAGTAAAGAATGGACATTTTCTCTGATAACATAGTGTTTGTCATTCCCTGTCTCTGTATATGTTTTTGTTCATTTGTTTATTAGAATTCACCACAAGTACAAACATACAAGTAGAAGGGAGGACAAAACAGGTGTATTGACACCTTTACAAGTCGTCCTCCCAAACACAACAATGTAAATATAGTACAATACAAATTACAATGTCGAACAATTGTTGACATGAAATCCAAATTACGTCATCCAAATGACGTCATGTCGAACACGATTCGGGTTCTATATAGATCTAAAGCAGGTGGGACATTGGGGCCCGAATTTGACCAACTTGACCTACTCCTGACCATGCTTGGGGGAGTTCGACTATATGTGACACGGGCTTGATGTGTCGTGGTATATCTGTTTCTGTCCAGTTTGTGTATTGGCAGCATATAAGAAGATTAAGACGAGAATAAGTGAGTGAAAAACTCCCGGCCATCGCCCCCAACCTTACTGACCCCTGGCTCCACTCCAACTGTTTCCCACAGAAGATGCAAATCGATCATCATGACAACTTACCCTGGCTGTCAAAAATGACAAGTATAATTATCACAAGAAAATGGACAACTTAATTGGGAGGCAGGTTAAAAGCTTAAGATACAACATAAAGGTGAATTGATCGGAGTTTCTATTTGACTGAATTTATAGATTATATATACGTAAAAAGCTTTAAGGTTACTTCGGAATGAGCTTTTGAAATAGAATTTATGACTGGCGACGTAGTGTCTAGACTATGAACTAGCCCCAGGACAGTAATTAAGTCTGGCGAAAAGACTTCGACTTTTAAAGAACGTGAGATAAATTTGTCTTCATTTGCACGTGCGACCGCCCGTTCGACCTTTTTAAAAGGTCGAACGGGCGGTCGCACGTGCAAATGAAGACACTGCTTACAAGAGTGGGTTATACGTAAAGGACATAGGCCAAATTTCCAGTAGGATAAATTGTCCGGATCGAGCCGATCCCGCTTGAAGCCGGATCAAAGCGAATCAATTTGGCTTGATCCAGATAATTTTATCTCAGTGGGAATGAAGTCATGGTTGACGGACATGCAGTCACTCTCTGATTGGACGAATTGCTAATTGCCATTCGCTCATTGGTCAAACCGCTGAATTACCATTCTCTTATTGGTTGCAGTTACAATTGTATAGACAGTCAGCTATAGACAGTCAGCTAGGGTTGATCTATTTATCGTTTCTCGTCATATTAGGGTTCTAATCCGAATGGTAAAGAGTGAAAGAAAACTTGCCTTGTTTTCAAAGTTTACTAGTGACTAGTTTTGACATTTAAAAAATGGTGGCAGCGGTGGGATAGGAAAAGAGGGTGGTAACTACATACTTGTAGTATCAGGCAGCACCATACGACATATTTGTCACATAAAATAAGACAATACTTCATCTGCAACATAAAATCAGCACTTTTAATTAAGAGATGCTGAGAAAAGCCCTGCGTTTCAGTTGCGTAAGCGTATTGAGTATGAAGTCCTGGGTGTCGAATGCGGGAATAAAAAAAAACCTACTTTTTATCAAATTTGCTAAATTTGTGGGCGTTTTTCAAGAATTGACCAAAAGAATTGTTTTCTTCCTGCCCATGCCGGGAGCAACACGTTTTTGGCACACTCTCAAAACGCCCCTTCAGAATAAAGACCCTTGTCTGACAACTTCAGACGCACAGAGCTCGTCGTCTGTGGTCAAGTCGGTCACCGCCAGTCGAAGCACCTACATTATTCATTAACAGGTACACAAGTCCGATTTTTTTTTTACTTTTTGGGCTATGTTCCTGATTTTGCTACGTGTAGAGTTTTCATCTCTTCATTCGTGTCCACAAAAATGTAGAAACACACCGGTTTATCTTAAATATCACGCGAAACTTTACAGAGGTAATTAAGGGGGCGTACCCTTGCTGTATCGTATCCATAACTGTTCTATGCCTCAATGGGTTATGGCTAGTAGGATCAAGCATGGTCTTTGATAGTCGCGTGTATTTAAAACGTAACCAAGAACGCGGATATGTTGCAAGCTCGGTTCTGGATACGCGTGGACTATCAAGAACCGCGACTGAGCGTGGTTCTAGACAAAACACCGTTCTGGATACCATGCCTGGGCATTGTTCTCGACAAAGCTTGGTTCTAGCTGGATACAACGGACTACTGTGAACGCTTTCTTTATATTCAAAACACGAGATGCACATGTTTAATTTTCCACTTTGGTGTTTTAGCATACAGACAATGACAAAATACCTTGTAGAGCGGTCAAAAGATAACAATACTAGTATGCTTGCGAAAAGGGGGCGTGGCGCGATCATAGTCGTCGTAGGTTGTTTGTGCGCGATCGTAAAATGTTCAAGTATACTGAGCAGTGACAGAACCAACCACTGTTGACAAGGATCTACGATAACATTTTCCGGAACAAGACAGCTGGCATGGATTTTGTAGCACTCATGCAAGACGGTTTCGAGAATGCGTTCAGTTTAGTTAGAGATCGCACGACGCCTCGCTCGGCTTGACCGCTCACAACTATACTGGGTTCGTCGCGTAGATTTGTGATATGGTGCCTATAATATAAAATTGCAATTGTGTCACCCATGTGTGAACAATATACTTTTGTTGAAGCGACGCCATGTCATTGTTTAAGGTAACCTTCAAAGAGGGTTACAATGTCTATCCAGTCACACAGAGGAGACGACATGTTCACTATGGTTGATCGACTGTGCACAACGTAGAAAGATTCCGCTACTGAACTTGTTGGCACGTTCTTGTGTGACATCTAGCGAAATGAGCCAGAACTGCATTTGTAATGTTAATGGTGATGTGGGAATTTCGTAGCCTCTACCAGGCTTCGGGAGGCGACTGGAAAGAGGGCCAGGGGAGATTGTCTGATGGGAGAGAACATGTTGCCGCTCCCCCGGCATGTTATCTCTCTATTTGGCCGATTTTTACTCTTTCCAGCCGCCTCCCGAAGCCCGAGAGAGGCTAGGAATTTCGAAAACTGTAAAAGAATTTAATATGTTATGTATTCACTTCTGATATATAAAACAGGGGACAGCAAAAATAATGATGCTTCTCCTATACGTATTAAGATCCTTCAGATACTGGGAACGCCCCTAAATTATCAGACAGGGCTTTGAAGTCCGTCCCCTATTCAACACATAATGTGCACACTATAACAACGCCAATTGTGCCTCATTATCTCATTATATTCATCACGAGGCTTCCAAAACCTGACGTCATGCCAAACCAGATCAAACCAGTAATGACAAGATAGGTTAGGGCCATACCATTCTTAACCCTGGAGGGGGGTCATTTCGATAATTTTTCAATGATCAAACCCCTTTAAAACAGCAGATACTCAAGAAAAAAGAGGTTTGTATCAAAACACATTTTATAACAAAAATGTTAGTTTCGCTCATTCCTTTTTTTAAAAACTCCTTTCTGTTTTTTTAAATATTCTGGCCCTAAAATGGGTGTTGCCCAAAATCGCCACCGCCGCCCTGTTTTCTGTGATAGGAACGAGAACAAAAGAGGGACGTTATCCATCCATACCAGATCTTATCGAACAGTACAGACGTTGTGGTACAACCGGATCGACCACTGTGTACGCTTTCACTCAACATAGCGTGGCTAGGATTCGCCAGCTTGAATACCCCGTTGTTAAGCACACTGCTAGTGCGTTTTCGAGCAGTGTCAGTAGCCCTAGACTCTACCTAGGCGTTTTCGTACGCAGAATAGCATCCCTACCGGACGTTTCGAGTCTCCCAGATGCCGCGTTTTGAGTACATCAGGCGATCAGTTCTGGAATCTAGGGAGAGATTTGCGAGGTTTAACCGTGAGAGGGGACCGAGAGAGCAGCAGCAGGAGCAGGCGGCGCGGCCGGAGGTCCTGGCCATCGCCCGCCGGCCTGGCTTCACCGGGGCGTCCGCCGGACTCCGCCTGGCCGTCGCTATCCACTTGTCCTGGGCTGAAGCGCTTCAGACGGGTAATGCTTAGGTCGCATTTCCAAACCGGGGCCCGGTCTGCTGACTGTTTTATGAACGAAAAATTAACAATTCATATCAGGAATATACAGAAATAGTACCCATGATTGTTATTAACAACCTTTCTGTGTTTTGTTGTCCTTTATATCGTACATTTCGTTCCCAAAAGCTGCCCGGCCGGGCCCCATGGCGGAATTGTGACCTCAGCATAACTGGGCACGATTTTGAAAAAAAAGGAGAAATATCTGCTAAAACAACGATTTTTAAAGAATATGTAACATGGCAACAGTACTAGTATCGTCATTATCAACCGGCTCATTGTTCTCATCTTGATGACGTCACAGTCATGGTGGACATAATAGTCACCTGTTAATGGTATTATTCTTATTATGACAGGTTTTGTCTCTATGTTTTGTGTCAAGGTAAAATAGTTGGGCGAAAACATTTCAGAGATTCCTAGCTTGAGAACCTTCACACATGGTTTAAAGACCGAGGAATGTTAATATATACCTTTACTGTCAGACACTTAGCTACCTGCCTGTTTTGCTAATGGCTGTGTTCCGGGGATGATCCGATTCATGAACAAATGCAAAATCGTGTTTTACACCTTTGTAGTATTTGGATTTTCCAATGTACACATGCAGGAAATTAAACGCAATACATGCGCACATAGACTAGGATACATACTACCCACACACACGCACAGAGAGATAGAGGGAGAGGTGGGAGGGAGGGAGAGAGAGGTGGGAGGGAGAGAGAG